TGCAGTTCATACAGAATGGCCCAGAGATGAGCTGCCACTATACAAGGTCTTCTTTTATATTTAACGTTCTGCATACTATCACAGAATTACATTAACTGCCTTTTGTAATTAAATAAAAGTATTGCTCTTATTATTATTTCATTCTCATCTCTTTGCTGACGATCACGACATGCTAATAAGGAACGGAGCCAGAGAATGACCCATGACTCCAGTTCTAACGCTCAAAGGGGACCCCTGCTTCCTGCCTGGACCTGTCTAGGGTTGACTCCCAACATCAGTACGTCAGCAGCAAGACTCACTGTGGGGTGGGTAAGGGAGGGGTGCCCACAGCATTAACTTCTGAAACTATGTAGTCAAGGCCCCAGAGGATTAGGATAAGGGCACCATGCTAACCATGCCCTCTTTCCAACTTTGATAAGGATGTAAGTCAAGAACTCTGAAAAAGAATATACCAGAGTCAACAGAGTGGAGTCCATGAATTACAAGTGACCGGAAATGTTGCCAACCACCACAATCACTGGGAAAGAGAATTTAGAATAACGACTTCAAGACTTTGTTGCTTATCCCTATCCAATCCATAGCTTAGAATCAATGGGCCCTGCTATTGTTATTCTTGAGAAAAGCATTTATTAAGTGCTCTGCTAAGTAGTGGAAATACAGACAGAAAACCAAGGGAGGTTGCTCACAGGGAGACAGCACATATTGGAGGACTCTGTTGCAGGGATGATGGAAGGGCCCAGTGGTCCATAGGATGCAGAAGCAAAGCTCATGAGGCATCATGTATGCTAGCTAACCAATAAAAGTAAATATGGAGGCCCTCCTCACCAAAAGCAGAAGTGAAATATATAATTCCTCTCTAACCCTCCTTCCCACTGAAAGCCATCTTGCACGGTGAACTGTAGGATTGCCATTAGTATATTTTGCATCTGGCTCCCCTGCAGCTAGAGTCAAACTTCCTTCCCCCATCCCTTAATGCTAGCTCTGTTTTCTTGCTGTCATGGTTTTCCAAGGCCTCTTTCCTCTCTCTTTAAATAGTAATCCTCCTATTGCTAGCCAGGCCAGTCTGCACGAATTCCAGATGACCCACAGTCTGTGTCTCCCTACCAGACTAGGGTTGATGAGGGAATAGGCTTCAGAGCTTCCTTTCAGTCACCAGGTTTGCTCTCCACATCCTTGGACCCAAGCCGGAATCACAGGATCTCGGAGCTGGAAGGGATGTCATTTTCTAGTTCAATCTGTCCCTGGCAAAGAATCACCTCTGTCTACAACACGCCCGACAAATGATTGCTCTGCATTTGCCTGAATTGGTCAATCACTCTGCCTTTAACTGTAGCTCACTTGAGCCTTGCAACAACCCTGTGAGGTGCCAGCCTGACAGATGTCATTCTCCCCTTTCACAGATGAGGAAGTGAAGGCCAACAGAAGTTAAATAACTTGCCCAGAGTCACACAGCCAAGAATTGTCAGAGATGGGATTTGAAATCAAGTCTCACTGATTTTCCGCTGTACCAGTCTGTCATTCGTAGCTGGGATGTCTCATATGAGATAATCAGAAAAGACCATCATCTCATTATGGACAATTAAGATGACTGTAATATTCCATTGAAGTATTAACCCATTCAGACCTTCTGGGATTTTAATGGACTGCAAGCTTGATACAAATCCGCATATTGATATGACCACCAAAAAAGCAAATGCAGTGTTGGGCTAGGGCCGGTAGGTGGTGCCATTTTGCACAAAGCATGAGGCTTCCAATCGGGAAGATCCAGCTTCATGAGTTCAAATCCAGCCTCAGCTGGATCGGCCATCTGTCTATAATCCTAAGTGAGAAGCCTGTATAAATGGCTGACGTCAACATTAGGATGTGTTTAAGTCTTCTACCTAACACATACTATCCATGCCAGTCCAGGCAAGTTGTTTACTCTCTGTGTTCTAGGCAACTCTGTAAGACAAGGGGGAAAGAAAGGGAGGAAATGAGCATTCACACAGTGCTTACTAAATGCCAGACACAGTACCAAGTGCTCACAAATGTTATCTCATTTATTCGTCACAGCAACTCTGAGAGGTAGATACTGTTATTTTTCCCTTTCGAAGTTGAGTACATTGAGGCAGACTAGAGGTTAAGTGACTTGCCCAGGGTCATATACCTAGGAAGTGATTGAAGTGGGATTTGAACTCAGGTCTTCCTAACTCTAGGCCCAGCACTCTATGCACTACAATATCTAGCTACCTCTAACGAGGGTTGGTACCTTTTTTAATGTGGTGGACCTGTTTGGCAATCTAGGGAAACTTATGGGTCCCTTCTCAGAATGATATTTTCAAATACATAAAACATATAAATGATATGTATGCGATAGAATACATTGTATGTATGTTATGTAATATATCATGTATATTATGTAAAATATGTAACGAATTATAATTTTATTATATATCCCAAATTCAGTGCTGTCTCCATACCACTAATAGGGGCTTATTTCCCTGAAAGAGTCGGCCATACTTGGTGGACAGGTAAAGTATAGGTCAAGCAGGGCTTAGAGTTCTTACTTTGATTATCCCAATGGGAGGGTTTCTCCTCATTCTTTTCAAGTACCAGCTAGTAAGAAAACAAAGCCTCTGCAGCCTGGGCAACCTTTACAGAGGCCTCTTCAACCTTGGCGCAGAGATGAGACAGAGAGAGAGAGCACCCTGTCAATAAAAACTTCTGAGCGAAGTACAAATCGCTTCAGGCCGGGCTAGGATTAGCCTCTGAGCTCCCTCCATGGTGACAGACCATGAGCCCTGGGTGCAGAAACTCAGAGTGACCCACAGAAAGACTCCCCACTCCTCTCAGGCTTTGCCAGCTTACTGGGCAAGGGTGAGTGCCATGTGGCTTTTTTTTTTTATTGCTCACTATTAATGTTCCAATTTACAGCTAAGGGCAAAAAAGAAAGCAGCTGCTCCAGCCCTGAAAGGGCCCTCTCTTTTGTTTGTTTGTGTTTTGGTTCCAGCCCCCACCCCCACCCCAACCCCCACCCCCTGATTTTTGAGTGGAATGGGAGGGCTAATCAGGCCCAAGAGTAGGAGAACTATTATCCTTGAGGCCAAGAAGTATCCAGCCCTCACCAGAGCTCTCTTCGGATCACCTGCCCAGCTGTGAAGTGCCTCAGAGAAAAGAAATTGTTTGAAAATGGTTGAAAGGAAAGTTTGAGAAAGGAAAGAAGAAGAAAGGAGGCAATGGGGCTGCTCACCCGCAGACAGTGTTTTTTCAAAGGTTTAGTAGGCACTTTTTTTTCCTAGCTGTAGGCATCAGGAGTTGTCCCCCCCCCCATCCCCAAGTGCTCAGGCCCTTGAATACTAGTGAGGACAACTGGTTGAAAACGCAAAATTGTCCTGAAAAAGTTGACTATGGTGAAAAGAGACCCGTGCTTGGAGTCAGCAGAGACTTGCATTGTAAAAGTTCTTCCCCGTGCCTAGAATACTCTTCCTCCTCACCTCCCTTCCTTGGGAACCCTAGCTCCCCTCAAGGTTCTGTCCAATTCTCCTCCCTTCAGCAAGCCCGTTCTGATCTCCCAGGTACTTATGCTCTACTTCCCCCTTTTACGGAGGAAGAAACTGAGACTGACAGAAGTTTGAGTTACGCGCTCAGGGTCACCAAGCTAGTAAATGCCTGAGGCCAAATCTAGTACTCTATCCACTATGACAGCTAGCTGCCATTGAAAAAGTCAGGTCAGACTCAAATAGAAATGGAACCCTGTGGGACTCATATTGACTTAGAAAACCACAAATTAATATTAGCTACATTTTATTTAATTTTTATTTATTTGATTAAATATTGTCAAATTACCAGGGGCAACTAGGTGGCAGTGGATAGGACACCTGCCCTGGAGTCAGGAGGACCTGAGTTCAAATGTGACCTCAGACACTTACTAGCTGTGTGATCCTGGGTAAGTCACTTAACCCCTGATTGCCTCAAAAAAAATTACCTTTTAATCTGGACCTGATGAATTTCAGCTCACAGGCATTTGGCACCTGGGGTTTGACCCCTCTGATTTAAGAAATATTCTTGATTTTATTTTTCCATCTTAAAATATAGGTCAATTTTGGAATATTCTCATTTATTATTCAGTCATTTCCTGTTGTGTCCAATTCTTCTTGACTCCACTTGGGGTTTTCTTGACAAAGACACTGGAGTGATTTGCCATTTCCTTCTCCAGCTCATTTTATAGATGAAAAAACTGAGGACACCAGGGTTAAGTGACTTGCCCAGGGTCACACAGCTAGTAAGTGTCTGAACCCAGGTTTGAACTCAAGTCTTCCTGACTCCAGGCCTAATACTCTATCCACTTTGCACCATGTAGCTGCCCTATTCTCCATATAGTCATTTAAAATTTACAGTAATAGTGATGATGGTAATGATAGCTGGTGCCTCTATTATCTTATTTTGATTCTCATAATGATTTTAGGAAGGAGATACTCTGGGAAAGAGATAACAGTTGTCATTTATATCACACTCTGCGGACAAGAGCCATTTAATCCTCCAACTCAATAAAGGAGCTACTTTTTGGAGGTGGGGAAGGAATCTTAGGCCTGTGATTTCATCAGTGTCTGGAGTTGCTGGTGAAGAAATTCCTCTGCATCTTTTACTTACCTGGGGGTTCTAAAAGGTTAAATAACCTGCCCTGGGTCACACAGCCAATAGATGGACTTGAATTAGATGCAAGTTTCCCTGATTCTTCCTTCCCCTATATATATGGCACCTCTCTAGGTCAATGCTATAGGGATTACCTGAATTTGGTAACTGTCTAAGAGGCACAGTGACGTATCCATGGTCGTTGAGTGTCAGGTGGTATTTGAACCCAGCTCTCTTCTGACTCCAAGACTATACCAGGCTGTGTGTCTTCCCTGGATGAAGGCCACTTTCAGTATGATATCTGGGGTGGCAACAATTTGGATTTGCTCCCCTCTGGCAGTTAAAAAGGAAGTGCCAGGATGATCAATGTGGGTCGTCTCTCCTGACAGGTGGACCGAACAGAAGTGATTCGAACCTGCATCAACCCTGTTTACTCTAAGTTGTTTACCGTGGACTTTTACTTTGAAGAAGTACAGAGGCTTCGGTTTGAAGTCCATGACATCAGCAGCAATCACAATGGACTGAAGGAAGCAGACTTTCTTGGTGGCATGGAGTGTACTCTTGGACAGGTCAGTTTCCAGCCCTCGCTCCTTTGCTTCTTCCTTCTCTCCCTCCTTTCTTTCCAGTCAACATTTACTAGATTTTACTCAAATCAAAACTATTTGACGTAATGCGATTGACAAAGAGATGTGGGTTTTGCCCTAGATAGTTCACGGTAAATGCCACCCCCCCCCCCCCGTTTTGGTCCCAGTAAAGAAACTCCCCCCACCTGAACCTCACCCCAGCCTGGTATCAATAAGTGGCCCGTAGAACTTAATCACATCTGGGTCTGCTTAGGAATACCTCCCACAGTCAGCACCAATTACCTGTTATCAACCAAGCCCATTTTTAGGGTAATAAGTTCACCACTTAAACTCCAGTTTTGAGTGTTTCCTCCCCAACACATCTCCCCAGCTCTCATGCCGGATGAGTATCTTACATCTGTGGGCATGAACTTCTGTCTATTGTATTATATTGCCATGTAATGTGTGTGTATTTATGCTTTCATTTACTCGTGTGTGCTCTGCATAATAATAAAGGTCTTATTTGTATCAGCTTCCCCAGTACCAATTTCCTAGAAATTCTTGAAATTGGGTGTCAGGCAGTATTGGAACTCGGCTCTCTCCTGACTCTAATACTAGGCCATACTGTGTGTCTTCCCTGGGTGAAGGTCACTTTAGATTTGCTTTACTTTAACTTGAGCCTTGAGGCCAAATACAGCAGAATTAAAGTGAGATCCCACTGTCACAAGTTTTCATAGAACCTTGAATACCTGGCTAAAGAGATTGAACTTTATTTAGGAGGCAACAGGCAGCCATTGAAGGTTTTTGAGCAGAGGAATAACATCATAACTGTGGATAAGAAAGATTGTTGCAAGTTGGAGAAGAGAAAAAAGTGCTGATGAGAGGTTATTGCAATATTCTGGGCAAGTGGTAAATAAGAATGGTCTATACTACGATGGGGATAATGGGAATATAGAGGAAGGAATAGTTGTAAGAGACATTTCAGAGTTGAAATCAACAGAACTTGGTAACTCAATGGCTGTGACATGAGCAAGGGAAAAAAGTCAGATAACCCCAAAGATAAGTTTCTTTCATTTTTTTTCTTCTAGCTTGTGTCCTTTAACTGCCCTCCAAGGTTCTATCCATAGAAAATAGCTCCTCTCTCTTTAATGTACCCCACGGTTGAGATTATCTCCTCTCCTGGACCCCAAAATCTTCCTCTACATCTCTGACCCCTCCTATGTGCTCCAGCTCTGTATTTCTGACTCTCCAGAGAACATCTGTAATTGATTGACCTGCCATCACTTCAAATTAAATATATCTAAAACAGAAATCATCATCTTTCCCTTCCAAATGGCTTAATGTGACTTGGTTGATTATAATTGGCTCCCTTTGGTTGAGCTGCTGCTGGGAGACCATGCCATATAAAATAAAGATCCCCAGGTATCACTACAGTCATCAGGAATTGTGTGAGAAGTCCTATGAGAGTATTTTTTGGCTTCCATTAGGAAATCAACCTCCTGAGGTCTTCTGGGTAGATTCAGCCTTGGAAAGAATGGGAATATCTCTTTACTTAGAGGGTTAGATTCATCTATACCACTCATGCCAAATTTTCTGTTTTACAGTTGGCCTTAAAATCTTTTTCATTCATTGGACTGTTGGCCCAAAGGGAGAAAAGGAAGCCTGCCTCATTCGTCTCTCCCAATCCCCATCCCTCTCCTGACAGTTATTAGGACATTCCCCTTTCTAAAATGTCTTTGTATGTACTTACTTGTACACATGCTGTATCCCTGTCAGTAAACTATCACCTCCTTGAGGGCAAGTACTATTTCATTTCTGGTTTTGTATAGTTCTACTTCCTTGTATATACTCAAATACTTAAAATATTCAAATGTATCTGTGATCTCATTAATATTCCCACAAAATGGTGCATGTTCCCTCCCATCCATGCCTACCCATCCTGAGTGGTCTTTGTCAAGGCATCCTACAGACTGACCATAGGAGGTCTACCCAACATGCTCAGGACCTTCTTCCCCATCTCTTGACTTTGGTGGAGTACCCATGGAGAACATAGACTATTCATTGACTATAGTAGGTACTTAATAAATGTTCAATGCCTTGCCTTTCCATGTAACTTCTTTGGGTAGGTTTCCATGTCTTTGCTTTTAAGTCCTTCTTCAGTTGTGTCTGACTTCATGACCCTATTTGGGATTTTCTTGGCAAGGATACTGGAGTAGTTTGCCATGTTCTTCTCTAATTCGTTTTACAGATGAGGAAACTGAGGCAAACAGGGTGAAGTGACTTTCCCAGGGTTACACAGCTAGGAAGTGTCTGAGGCCAGATTTGAACTCAGGAAGATGAAGCTTCCTGACTCCGGCCTGGCACTCTATCCACTGCACCACTTAGCTGCCCTTGATTTCCATGAAAGTGAGTGAAAAGACCCTGGGAATATCTGGCTCTGTGTCACCCTTCATTATCTAGTAAAAGGGAGAATAACCAGAACAGGCAGCCATAGTGGCCGATGTTTCACATCTCCTATATCTCTTTATCCTTTTTGATCCGTTTTCCCACATTATCACCTCTGATCCTCCAAACAGTTGGTAAGTTAGGTGAGGGCTATCATAGGACATTAAACTGGAAAGGACCATAGACAACATCTAGTACCAGCCCCTTGTTTTATAGATAAGGAGATGGCTCAGACTAAAACATGATCAGAGCAACTTAAAATGTAACACGTCGAATTTGTGATATTAAAAACAAAACAAGTTGTATATAATAAAGCGTTATGGTTCTACGTATCTTATACTGTTCTATCTGTTTCTCTTTGGAAATATTCACTTGGAGTTTTAAGAGGTTGTTATTTGAGTTCAAAATGAAAGAAATAAAAATTCAAAAATAGATGAAGAGATGAAGGCTTAATGAGGCTGAACACCCAAAGTCATATGGCTGATTAATGGTAGCACAAGACTCTGGGCCACTTGAGATAGTGGAAGAGGAATCTGGATTTGGAGCCACCAGATCTGACTTGGAATCCTGGCTACTAAAAAGCCTTCTAATATTGGACTGGCCCTTTCCCTCTCTGGCCTCACATTTCTCATCTGGAAATTGAGGGAGTAGTTACCCTAGTTAATTTCTAATTCCTCCTTCCAGTTCTATACTCTGTGATCCCCAGCAGTGATAGAGCTCTTACCAGCTTGTTAGACAATAGGTAAATTTTTAGTGTAAGCTTTTACATCTCAGAAATCGGCAAATGTTGCTAATCAGGGCTTGATTTATTGTGTTGTAGATTGTCTAGACATAAGAAAATGTTGGAGAAAATATTAATAATGTAGGTTGAATTTAAAAGGGTGCCATGGGTACATTTCTAAAAAAGAAAGCTGGTTGTTGAATATTTTTCAGCATACCCCTGATCCCAGGTTTCTTAGTCCTGGGCTCCTTACACTTTGTGACCAGAAGCAGCAAAGAATTATGTAAACAGTCCTTTAGATCCAAACCTGCTTAACTGGAACACTTTGGGAAGCCTTGACTTACCTGGAGTTGGCTGGCAAATTCAAACGAAGCCAGAATTGTACAGCATAACCTTTAGCTCTGCAGTTGGTATGATGTACTAATAATAACAGGGGCAGCTGGTAATGCAGTGGATACAGCACCAGGCCTAGAGTCAGGAAGATCTGAGTTCATATGTGACCTCAAACACTTACTAGCTGTGTGACCTTGGGAAAGTCGCTTAATTTTATTTGCCTCAGTTTCCTCATCTGTACAATGAGCTAGAGAAGGAAAGGGCAAACCGCTCCGGTATCTCTGCCAATAAAACTCCAAATGGGGTCATGAAGAGTCAGACATGACTTAGCAGCAGCAACAAGAAGGAATAATAATAATAATAATCGTAGCTGACGTGTATCTAGTGCTTACTATGTGCCAGGCACTGTCTAAGCACTTTAAAATTATCTCATTTGATCCTTACCACAACCCTGAGAAATAGGTGCTATTATTATCCCCATTTTACAGATGAGGAAACTGAGACAAATAGAGGTTAGGTGAGAGGGGAGGTTTGAACTCAGGTCACATTTGAACTTAGTTCTAGAAAAAACTGGTCATAGAGTCAGAAGACCTGGGTTTGGCTTTTGGCTATGGTACTTCAGCAAGCTTTATTAAGCCTCTTTTAAGGGCAAGCAGGTCACGATGCTAGGTGCTTGGAGATCCAAAGGCAAAAGGAGAATAGTCCCTGCCCCTAAAGAGCTTTCAGTGGCAATTAATTCAACCTCTCTGTGTCTGGTTTTGTTATCCCTATCCTAAAATGAAGGTGATGACATCTTTGTTCTTCCTCCTAATTATAATGATGATGATGACTAACATTTTTGTAGCACTTTGATGTTTACAAAACGCTTTATATATTATCTCATTTATTCCCCACAATAACCTTGTGAGGTAAGTGCTACCCATTTTACAGATGAGGAAACTGAGGTTGAGGGACATTAAGTGACTTGCCTAGGGTCACCTAGCTAGTGTCTGAAGCTGGATTTGAATTCGAACCTTCCTGACTCCAAGACCAGCACTCTATGTACAGCACCACCTAGCAGCCTAGGTAAGCTTAAAAAACTACAAGATGTAGCAGATAGAGGGTAGAGCCAGCTGTCCTCCAGAAGACCTGAGTTTGAGTCCTTTTGTGACTAGTCCTGTGACCCAAGACAATTTGTTTAGCCTCCCAGTGCCCTGAGCAACTCCTAAAATGGGAGGTCTTAACTTGGGGTCCATAGACTCCATGTACAAGTTGGGGGTTCTATGTATTTAACTTGGGGTCCATGGACTCATTGGGAGGTTCCATGTACTTGGGGTCCATAGACTCCATGGATAGATTGAAGGGTTTCATGTATTTAACTTGGGGTCCATGTACTTATTGTGGGGTTCCATGTACTTAACTTGGGGTCCATAGACTCTATGGATAGATTGGGGTGGGGAGGTTTCATGTACTTGAATCAGAAGAAAAAAAATCTTTATTTTCATTAACTTCTAACTGAAAGTTAGCT